GGAGGGTGGTGAATAGAGAGGAAAATAGGATTGAAGGGAACACAAAGAGGGGAGCTTTGCTGGAAGTGTGGTGTTTTCTTAAAAAGAAAAAACAAAACAAAACGGAAACTTCCCTGGTGGTCAGTTGGTTAGGACTTCACCTCCCAATGCTAGGGGTTTGACTCCTGGTCAGGGAGCTGCGATCCCACATGCCTCCAGGCAAAAACAAAACAAAGAAGCAAAGCAAAAAGCAAGCAATATCGTAAAAAATTCAATAAACACTTTAAGAAAGGTCGACATCAAAAAAATCTTCGGCAGGTAAGACCAGTTGTTAACGTCGGAGTGGTGGGATATGTATTTTGTAATTTTCAGGGTTTTTCTGTTGTTTAGAAATATTTCATGAAACAGTGGTGCTCAGTACACACTGGGCACTCTTTTTGAGTGGATACTGTTATTATCATTATTTTTGACTGTGCTGTGTGGCTTGCGGGACCTTGGTTTCCTGACCAGGGATTGAACCCAGGGCAACCCCAATGAAAGCGCTGAGTCCTGCCCACTGGACCGCCAGGGAACTCCCTAGCAGGTGCTATTGTAGCTTCCGTGTCAGCGGACAGCCCATTCCCCAGACTGCCCCAGCAGGGTCTTTGTAGGGCTCTGTCTTTGACAGGCCAGAAGGCTGACGGAATGAATAGAGGGAGGCCAAGACAGCTGTAGGATTCTGTCCACTTTGACATTAAATTATCCCAGATCATCAGTAGATGGATTGATTGTTGCCACGGGCACATCTGTGGGTATCTCACCCTCCCCTGACACATCCCTCCCTCTGAAGGGTGAGGGGCTGCCCAGGAGTGGAAATGCCTCTTGTCCGCATCGCAGACCCTTTAGTGCACACAGCGGTGGGAGGCCTAAAGGTACCAGTTTTGCAGAGTGTTTTCTGAATCTCCTTGAAAACAGCACTTTAATGTTATAAGATGCCCCCGAGCTAATGTAATAGGTAGATGCAGAGAAGAGTTATTTTGAGGACCATAATTTGACTTAGTTATCTCAGGCGATCAAAGATTGTTTAACACCAGAAATAGCTGAGTAGAACAGCTGCTAAAACAGTGCTTTGTGTGGGAAATGATGAAAGGTTCAGTATTTTGACAGCCATTTCAGAGGGATGAGTAATAAGACTTCTAAGAAAATCCTGATTACTGCCTTTTGGGGGCAATGCTCTAGACTAGATTTCAGATTTCCCATTATCTAGTGTTCTGTGTGGACATACAGTGCAGAAGGAATGTTTTCTCTTTTCCAGAGTCTTGACTCCTTGTCACAGTACAATTTAGGCAGCATGGTAAGTATTTATGATTTAGGTCTTCTAAGAATACATAACTTGTCCTTTCATCAGACATGTGTTTAGGTCTTACCATGCTCCAAGCAATGTTTAGGGTCTAGGGGTCCAAAGCGATCCATCAGACCTTGTTGTCATGGAGCTCCCAGCCTGGAAAGAGGAGAAGTGGAACAAGGCAAAATGTGCAACTGATTTTAAATAAATGCAGTAGGTATTACAGGAGCAGAACTCAGGGAGATCAGGGTTAGAAAGAGGTGGCATGAGAGAATTAGGAGTTTGTCATTTGAGGTGGTGGGAGGTGGGCGTTGATGGACAAGCACACCATCCCAAGTGGAGGGAAAATCCTGGTCAGTGTTACCAAGTGAATGGATATTTTAAATTTTTTTATTTATTTCTTTTTCTTTTTAATAATTTTATTTATTTTCGGTTATGCTAGGTCTTCATTGCTTCATGGACCTTTCTCTAGTTGTAGCAAGCAGGGGCCAGTAGATACGGATGTGCCTGTTAAGTGAAAGTGTTAGTAAGTCGTGTCTAACTCTTGTGATGTCATGGACTGTAGCCCGTGAGGCTCTTTTGTCCATGGGATTCTGCAGGCAAAATTACTGGGGTGGGTTGCCATGCCCTCCTCCAGGGGATCTTGCTGACCCAGGGATCGAACCCGGGTCTCTTGTGTTGCAGGCAGGTTCTTAACCGTCTGAGCCACCAGGGAAAGATGTTGTAGCTATTAGTGTTCATCTAAATCTTCATGGCTGATTCATGTCAATGTATGGCAAGAACCACTACAATATTGTTAAGTAATTAGCCTCCAACTAATAAAAACAAATGGAAAAAAAAAATCTTCATGGAAATGGTGGTGCCAGTTGTGAATGCAACTGGTTGCATCACCAACACACAGTTGGTGAGCTGGCATCTAATCAGAAGCCCTCACTCCACTGGCCTCCCCTTGAAGACCACTCAGTTTTCTTTCCCTCTGAGTGATACCAGAGGCTTTCTAATTAGAATAGTGGATGGTATAGATGATTTGTGGTTAGGGACATTTGTGGTCAGGACATGCGGATGGGATCGGACCTTTTCAGAGGTCTTCTCTCCTTGGTGTCAGAGTACAGAAGACTAGTGAGACATTAAGGATGGGGAAACTGGGGCTTGGAGGGGCTGGGTCTGGGACGTGGTCCAGCCAGGACTGAAGAGCTCCAGAACCCGGACTCCCTCTGTGGGCTGCTCTGCCTGTCCTTGGAAGAATCTTTATCTACCATGATGCTCTCTTAGAGGCTCGTTAAACCACAGAGGCTGGGCTTCCGCTGCTGGCTCAATAAAGAATCCGCCTACAACTCAGGAGATGCAGGTTTGATCTCTGGGTCAAGAGCATCCCGTGGTCAAGAAGGGAATGGCTCCTCACTCCAGTATTCTTGCCTGGAGAATCCCATAGACAGGAGCCTGGTGGGCTACAGTCCGTGGAGTCGCAGAGTCAGACATTCCTGAGCAACTCATACACACACAAACCACAGAGGCTCATCCTGGACTGGGAAACCTGTGCGCCTTAGAAACAACGTATGTGTCGCTTCCAATATTTTGATTCTGGAAAAGGAAAAGTGTTACCAATGCTTGCCTGTTATGAGTGATGGACTTGTATTTCTGGTTCACATGTGTTTCTAGTTAACATAGAGAGCAATCCAGTTTAGCTGGCACTCCTTGCTTTTCCTATTAATACACTCTCCCATCTGCAGATAATTGAAGAGTAATTAGAGGTCTGCAGTAAATTCTAGTCACCGTAGAGAACAAAAATGCACACGTGTGGTATTCTATGGAAAATGACTCCTCGGAAAACTCTGCAGACACTAAAGACTTGATTTTTGATGTATTTCATACAAGCCAGAGCAAACATATGAATTCATTTATCCTTTAGTAAAAGTGTGGGCTTCCCTGTGACTCAGATGGTAAGGAGTCTGCCTGCACTGTGGGAAACCCAAGTTTGATCCCTGGGTTGGGAAGATTCCCCTGGAGAAGAAAATGGCAACCCACTCCAATATTCTTGCCTGGAAAAATCCCATGGACAGAGGAGCCTGGTGGGCTACAGTCCACAGGGCCGCAAAGCGTCGGACAGGACTGAGCGACTTCACTTTCACTTTCTTAGTGAAAGCATGTTGTTTCTGGTGTATGCAGGTCAGCTAGTGGTCATTGTGGTTCGCCGTGAACCTAGGTGGACTCCTGGCTGTGGACAAAGACCAAAAGGACAACTGTGGGGCTTCCCCATTCTTGCTTAATACCTTGAGTTCGGGAAGGCAAGGGCTATTTTGGCCACTTTACTAATGAGGACGTGAAAGCCACCAGAAACTTAATGGCTTGTCCATGTGCCCCAGACCAGGAGGGAGCTTTTCTGAACACTAGGTCACTTGACCCCAGGCTGGCAGAGCAGAAGAAAGCGATGTCAGTAGCATCATGCATATTGCGGTGTTGTTCAGTAGGGACAGAACCAAGCCTTAAGATGTTACTGGAAGACAACACGTCAGGAGATACTGGCGGTGACAGTTTCATAAGAACCCGTGGTTCAGATTCAGTAGAATTTCATGAGGAGTCTGGGTCGGGGGGGCAGGCACCGGGCTTGGTGCTTCCTGTATCCTAGTTATTTTCCACTGTGGCAGGTCATGGAAGGCTGGGGCCTTTTACTTTACCCTCCCTGCTCGACTACCATCAGTTCCACCTCCAAGTCATTTTTAATCACCATGTGACAAATAGCAAAGGACTCTGCCATGGAGACAGGGGAAATGCTTGTTTCACAGCCCTGTTCACTCCTAAACGCAGCCCTAATATACTGCCTGGCCCTCTCCCCGACTGGATTATAAATGTCTTAGGGACTCTTGTCTTACTCAGCTTCATGCCCACAGGGTCTGCTTTGCATATGAAAGTGTGAAAATGTTAGTTGCTCAGTTGTGTCCGACTCTGCGACCGCATGGACTGTAGCCCACTAGGCTCCTTTGGCTATGGACTTCTCCAGGCAAGAATACTGAAGTAGGTTGCCATTCCCTTCTCCAGGGGATCTTCCTGACCCAGGGATCAAACCCGGGTCTCCTGCACTGCAGGCAGATTCTTTACTCTCTGAGCCATCAGGGAAGCCCTGCCTTGCATATAGTAGTCATTTATAGTTTGCTGAGCTGACCTGTACATTTTCGATATGAAAGAAAGGTGAGAATATTATCATTATGAAAATTACACGTGGGGCTGCCTAGCACGTGGACTCAGATGTACATGACTGATTCACATGACTGGTTCCTGTGGTTGTTAGGTTACTTAAATTAAGGGTTTGTTTCCAGGATGAAAGGGAGAAAATTCTACATACAGTTTGTAATGATGGTAAAGCAGAGACCCCAGAATATCAGTGCTTCATACCTTACTTTTTAGTTTGAAACAGGTGTCTATTATCAATACCACGGTGGGCCAGGGACTGAGGTAGGAGCTTTGCTGGTTTGGCTTTGGAAACCAGCGCCATGGTTCAGCATATGCAGCATCTCGTGCAGGTGGGTGGAACAAGTATCATAGAGCCAGCAGCATCACAGCCGAGAGGAAAGTTTTGTCCAGACGGGAGGTGGTGGGAGAGGGTTTGCTGACAGGTCTGCTAGAAGGGGCGCATCCACACTGCTGCCTCTGGGAGTTTGGAGGAGACCCTTAAACTTTTCTCCCCGCTGTCTGTCCTCAGGCCTCCTGGTGGGCACCCTTGATGTCGTGTTGGACTCCAGTGCCCGGGTCGCTCCTTACCGCATCCTGTACCAGACTCCAGATTCTTTGGTCTATTGGACCATCGCCTGTGGTAAGTGCAATATTTGGAAATACGGAAAGTGTTATGATCGACAACTTTCTTTCAGAAGGGAAGGAGCATTTCATTGTGAGATGCAATCCATTGGTCGTTTAAGACAAGTTACTAGAGCCATTTCAGCAGATAAACCCTGAGTCTCAGCAGTTTAACACAAGAAAGGTTTCTTTCTCAACCTGCTGAAGTCTTATTTGGATCCAGTGGCCACTTCCATCTGTAGTAACACCCCATAGAACACAAAACTTCCAAGATCAACTTCCAAGGAAAAAGCAGGAGGTGAAGGCACACCTGTGTTTCACTTGCTTGGCCAAGAAGTGCCACCAGCTTCACTCACGCCCCACTGGCTAGATAGAATTAGTCAACATGGCCCCAGTCTATCTACAGGGAGGCTGGGACATAACTAGGAACACACGAAGTCCTGGGTGGACTCAGGAATACTTATCCTTCCTACCAGGTAGGGATTATTTATTTCTCCTGATGGTAGTCTGTAATCATGTACCGGGCTTAAGGATGTCCCCTGTGGCTCAGCTGGTAAAGAATCCGCTTGCAATGCAGGAAACCTGGGTTTGATCCCTGGATTGGGAAGATCCCGTGGAGAAGGGAATGGCAACCCACTCCATTATTCTGGCCTGGAGAATTCCATGGACTGTATAGTCCATGGGGTCGCAAAGAGTCAGACACGACTGAGTGACTTTCACTCACTGGGCTTAAAACAGTGATAAACAGTCATGATGTTATTAGGTCTCTCACAAGAACTGCTAGTCCAAAGTGGCTAAGGTTTTTTTGTTCTTTTTTTTTTTAGCTATTTGTTTTTTCAAATAACCCTAGGAAGAGCAGGGGCACTGAACACTTTTTTTTTTTTCCAATTTTTTTGCCTCCACATGATTTTTTAAATTAATTTATTTTCTTCTTTAGTTTTAGATTTATAGGAAAAGTGAATAGATAGTTTAGAGCACTTCCATATACCCTCCATATATATGTTTCCCCTGCAGTTAACATCTTACTATGAAACATTTGTTCCAATGGGTGATCCAGTGTTGCTACATTATTATCGAATAGAGTCCATACTTTATTTAGATTTCCTTAGTTTTTACCTGATGTCCTTTTTCTGTTAGAGGATCCTGGCCAGGGTACTATTTTCTATTTAGTTGGTAGATCTCTTTAATCTCCTCTTGGCTGTAGAAGTTACTCCGACTTGCCTTGTTTTTGATGACTCTGCCATTTTCTAAGGATAATTGTCAGGTGTATTATAGAATTGTCCTTCTCTTGGAATTTGTCTGATGTTCCTCTCATGATTAGGCTAGGGTGATAGATTTTTGTGAGGAAGATCACAGAGATAAAGTGCTATTTTCATCACATTATGTCAAGCAAGGGCACCTCCTATCAAGCTGATTTATGACTGATGATGTCCTTGATCACCTGGCTGGAATAGTGTTTTTCAGGTTTTCCCACTGTCTTCTGCTTCCCAAACTGCCCTCCTTGGAAGTAAGTCACCATGCACACTTACTGAGCAGGGAGTTTTAATTTGTTCAATTATTTTTATTACTGTGAATTCATGACTATTTATTCTTTGCATTATAATCCAGCACAACTTTATTTTGTTGCTCAAATAGGTCTAGCTTTGACCATTGGGAGCTCTTTCAGTTGACTTTCTTCAGTTTTTTAATCTATCTCTGCTTGGTAGGAAGTGCCATGCTGGGATCTAAAGATATAAAGATAATCAGATCCAGCCTCTGCTCTTGAGAATGCAAGGAAAGTCAGTTACAGCCCAGTGTGAACACGTACCCAGCAGTGCCATTGGGCGTTGGGACTGCCAACTAGAGACAGGAACCTTGGCTGGCCTTCTGCAAGGGTAGGGGGAGTTCTGTGGGTATGATTTTAGACTGCCGGAAGGCTCTGGTACCCTAGCAAAACACTTTCAGGGATTCAGCACCTGAAATTCTAACATGGTAGTTGTGTCCCTTTAAAGTTATTCTGGTTCAGATGCAAACAGGAGAAACAATGAAATGACTTAGCATTTCAGCATTCCAGTGAGTGAAGGAATGGCAGTGTGAGCCAGGGCAGGGAGAAAACCATCCAGGCCTGCGTGAGGGCTGGGGATTAGAGCAAGAGGAAAGGGATGAGGATGAAGCAAGAGAGAAGCTGGACCCTGACAGTGTCATCCCTCGTAAGATAGAGCTGTATTTCACTCCACACAGGGCCAACACCCAGTAGCTACGGTAGAAGGGGAAGTGCCCGGTGGGACTTGGTTGGGAAAATGTCACCTTTAGTTGGCACATAGTGTAGAATGGTATTAAAATAGACTTTGGAGCCAGCAAGTGAAGAAAGAGAAAGGAAATCAGGCAGAACTGCCAGCACCCTGGGCGTAAGAAGGCTTTGTCACTCTCATCTTCCAGCACTTGCATCACTTATTCCAGACTTTCAAAAATCTGTAGAGCCTGGAGGGTCTCAGAACCCTTAGGATTCCTGGCCTTCGCAGGTCAATGCATGCGTATGGGGCTGTGATGAGCTGGTTCCTATCTGTGACTATTTTTTTTTTCCTCCCCTGTTATCTGATCTGGCATCACTACTCTTCACTCTGTTTCTGAAGTTTTGCCGTTCTGTGGAGCAAAGGCTCCAAGGAATGCTCCTATGCGGAAGAGCCCAAAGTTACGAAGACCAGATATTCCTGAGTTACTTGCCAAGCCAGGGCTAAGGAACACGGAGCAGTAAATGCGGATGTCATAATTTATACCTCAAGGAGATGATGCCTGTCACACGTGCATGATCTCATTACAATAAACCTGGAACGGTTGTAGCTTTTGAATATATTGATTACCCAGAATTTCCTTGTAGAAGACTCCACAGAAGTGAGACTCCACAACCTCTGTTAAAGTTCATTCACCCACTAATTGTTCCTTCTTATTGATTCTCTTTAAAACCCAAATGCCTGGCTCCCTTTCAGGAGATTTTAAGAGCTGAAGTTGCTAACTTAAAAAGGTTCCTTTCAGTTTGTAATTTTAAAAAAAAATAATTTTTTTTTCTGTAAGCTCTAAAGTTGATATTTGGTGGGGCTGTCTGGCAAGAGCTTTTTAATATGCTCTTTTTTTTTTTCTTTTGGTTGCACCTTGAGGCTTGTGAAATCTTAGTTTTATAACCAGGGATCGAACCTGGGCTCTCCACAGTGTAGTATGGAGTCCTAACCACTAATTTGCTCTGATTTTATGAGTTATTGCTGTGAGAGAAATTTCAACAGAAGATTGTCTAACTCAGTGCCCTGTAGAATCCATAGGATTGCAAAGCCTCTGTTTTTATGCCACACGCCTCGTCGATCTTTGATTTGTGTAACGTGAACTAAGGGCACGTCTGCAATCAATGTCTTCCACTTTCTGTAGGAGAGTAGCTGTCTTAGTGGTAAATTCTAGTCGTATGACTGTCTTAGATTTGAGCCACATGGAGCCAGGCAGGACCTAGTTTTATACCTTGTATGACTTACTCCAGTATAATGCTCACTCAGTCATTGACAGTATGAACAGAAAGAAGAGGGAAGCAAAAAACAGGAGTTATTTTTTGAAACATTGTTTTCAGATGCTTCTTTTTACTGTGGTCTATCATCTGTATGCAGATTGACTTGAAGAAATTGATTTATTATGTTTCTTTGGCACTGATACCTTTCATTTGGGAAGGGGAGCCAAAAACTGCCTAAATAATGACTTTTTCTTTTCACTGCCACTTCACAAAATGAAGCCACTGTTGTTTTTGGTGGATGTTCCATTGTGCCATTGATTCCAGCCTGCTGACTTGCATTTTGTTCTGTGGTTTGTGCAGTAACATATCGTTTTTGCTATTTATTTTTCCTTTTAAATTGTTTACTTTATTACTATTATTATTTTTTACTGCAACATGCAGCTGGCGGTGTCTTAATTCCCTGACCAGGGATTGAACCCAGGGCCCTGGCAATGAAAGCTCAAGTCCTAACCACTGACCACTGGGGAATTCCCTGCCATTTCTGAGAACATCAAGGAAGTAGTGCCTTAGGAATTGGTCCAGAGTGCTTTGCTGAGCTGGTTATGCTCTGACAATCCTTCCTGTCTCCCACCAGTGAGTGCGTATTTTACACTTGTGCTCTCACTGGGGCACTCAACAGCTTCAGGTGATCCCCCAGCAGCTGGTGTCTTGGCCTTGGTGCCCCAGAAGCAGGAGAGAGCTCAGTCCTTTGCCCTCCTCAGACTTCAAGGGTCTTAAGCAGAAGGCAACCCATTTGGCTGTCCCCACAAGAAGAACTAAGGGCTTCCCAGGTGGTGCAGTTGCAAAGAATCTGGAAACACAAGAGACCTGGGTTCAATCCGGGGGTCAGGAAGATCCCTTGGAAAAAGAAACGGCAACCCACTCCAGTATTCTTGCCTGGAAAATTCCATGGACAGAGGAGCCTGGCGGGCTTCAGTCCATGGGATTACAAAGAGTCAGACCCAACTGATCATGCACATGCACACGATCAGAACTGGGAGGTTCAAACAGTAAGAAACGCTATACAGCCTCATAAGAATATTCTGCTGTACTGTTTAGTTGCTAAGTTGCGTCTGACTCTGCAGCCCCCTGGACTGTAGCCCACCAGGCTCCTCTGTCCGTGGGATTATACTGGCGAGAACACTGGAGTGGGTTGCCATGCCCTTCTCCAGGGGATCTAACCTGAGTCTCCTGTGTCTTCCGCGTTGGCAGGTAGATTCTTTACCACTGCGCCTCCCGGGAAGCCCTCCAAGCGAATATGGACTTAGAGAATTGCAGATAATTCCAAGGCCCTGGGACACAAGAGTTACAATTGGAGAGACAGAGGGAAATGTCGACAGTTCTCCGGGGGCACAGCTGACCATCCAGCAGGACTAACGAAGGGAATGGGGTGGAGGCTGTGTGCTTGATGGCATCTCGCAGATAACACAGCCCTGAATGGTGCCTTGATTCTCTGCCCATTGATTTAGTTTCCCTTTTCTTTACCATCTTAGAATCTCATCTGGGCCCAC